GTCTCCCCTCCTTCCCCGTCGCGACTACCGACGCGTCGAGCCATTCGCTCAGCCCGTTGCAGCGAGCAGCTTGCTACTCACGAGGACGTTGTGTCCTCTCTTCTGGACTTGAGCATGCTCCAGGCTCGTCAGGAGCGACTCACCCTCCATGTCGCTGCACTGCGTCGCCTTCTCGCCATCCTCTCTGACCCTAATCGCACCCTCCCGATCATCCCAGTACGACTCGGGACCTCCACCAGGGTGTACTCAGCACTGTGGGATTCCGGTTCTCAGGGCGACTTCATTCACCCACGCGTGGTGAAGGAAGCCCGCTTACCTACGACAGGGTCTCCGACTCCCATCTCCGTTACCCTAGGGGATGACAAGACTCAGCGCTTCTTCGATCAGATGGTCACCGACCTCCCCTTCTTCCTCACTCTCGATCCGACTGAGCGTTCCCCGGCGTCTCGTCGCCACCGCTCCTCTGCACATTTCGATGTGATGGAGACGGGGTACGACTTCATTCTCGGCACTCCGTGGTCTCGTCGGTTCCGCAGCACCGAGGCCGATTGGGCGACCAACACTCTCGTTCTCAAAACAAAGTGTGGACAAACGTATCGCGTACCTTTCATAGGTACCACGACGATACCACGCCCCGATCCTCCTCCCCCAGAGCCTTCAGTGCCCACACCATCCCCCTCTATCACTGTCACCTCGCCTCGACAGTTCGCTCACTTCATTCGACAAGACGACGTCACCTTCTTTATGGTGAACGTGACGGATCTCTTACACTATGATCCACCCTGTCCCGACGTCGAGCTCATCCCTCTGGAGCCAGATCCTCCTTCTATCTCCATGGCTCCCATCTCTACTCCCGTCCCTCCGCCGTCCGTCGAGTCCACTCCGTCGTCGAGCGTTGACGCTGACGCTGAGGAACTCGCACGATATATGGCTGACCTGGAGCCCGTAGTTCGTGACCTCATCCGAGAGTACCACGACGTTTTCCCATCGTCGTCCTCGTACGTCGGCATCCCACCGATGCGTGACGTCGAGCACTCCATTCAGCTTGTGCCTGACTATCGTATTCACCACTAGGCACCCTACAGACTCTCGATTTCCGAGGCCACCGAACTCAAGCGTCAGCTTGCTCCTGAGACTGGGTTTCATTAAACCCAGCAACTCCCCGTGGGGTACACCCGTCCTCTTTGCTCGCAAAGCGGATGGAACTCTTCGTCTCTGCATCGACTATCGCAGTCTCAACCGCTACACGGTTAAGAACAACTACCCCATGCCTCGTTCCGATGAGCTGTTCGACCGCCTAGCAGGCAACCGCTTCTTTACAAAGATTGATCTTCGTAGCGGTTACCATCAGATCCACGTCGCTGCAGCCGACCAGCCGAAGACCGCGTTCCAATCACGCTTCGGCCACTACGAGTTTACGGTGATGCCATTCGGCCTCACCAACGCACCCGCCACCTTCCAGAGGGCGATGAACGGCATCTTCAAGGACATCCTGGAGCAGTGCATTCTCGTTTACCTCGACGATATCCTGGTCTACACACATACCTTGAGGAGCACCTCAGACACCTTCGCGACTTCCTTGACCGCTTGCGCAAACATGACTTCTACGCCAAGCTCAACAAGTGCCGCTTTGCCCAGCACAAAGTGGACTTCTTAGGACATTACGTGTCTGACCAGGGTCTCCACAGGGACGACGCGAAGATCACTGCTATTGCGGAGTGGCCCGCTTCCACATCCGCCAAGCAGCTTCGCAGCTTCCTAGGCCTGACCAACTACTACAGTAACTTCATCCGGGGATACGCTAGGTATTCCTACGTCCTTACCTCCACCCTCCTCCGGAAGAACCCACCCTGGGCTTGGACAACCCTCCACGAGGACGCCTTCCGCGCCCTCAAGAAGGCGGTGACATG